CGTAGGGGAAAACACGTACAGAGTCTTGTCCGAGATGGTACCACGGTGCCAGGATGCGTGCGACCATCTGGTTCAGCCTGTCTTGGGAGACAGCACCAGAGTTGAGAGCACCTCTCAGACCACCAGCGAAGACACCACCACCTGGATGTGTCAAAGTCGGTGAAATGGAAGCTGCCACAGGCTCGAAGACTTACCGATGACAATGTTATCTCCTGGCTGTTCCATGTCGAGACCATTGTTGGCGTTCTCGGCAGCGCCGTCGTGGGTTGCACCCCAGTCGCTAATGACATAGCCTGTCAACGAACTCGTGAGTCAGAACGTCGAAGACCTGCTAGGCGAGCGAAGGAAGGTTAAGGACCCACCTTTAAATCCGGCCTTCTGCATCAACCCATTGGGGCCGATGAGGTTCTCGTTGTGGCACGAAGAAGTGCCATTAAACCGGTTGTATGCGCACATTACCGACGTGACGTCCGCCTGGAAGGTGTGGGTCAGTCAAACGCGGCTTGGGTGGGCAGCCTAAGGCTTCTGTAGCACACGGGCAACTTACCTCGATACTCCTTAGGAAGGGGTAAAAATAGATCTCATGCGTCGTCCTGTCGTCCATGTTCGAGCTCAGACCGTACCGCCAGTGCTCCTGGTTATTCCCGAGCAAGTGTTTCGCACATGCTTGCACGCCGACGCTCTGCACGCCGACGATGGTCTCGTACGCGCCCTCGCCGTTGAGATAAGGGTCCGGTCCGAAGCTATGCGCCTGATTAGTCGACGCACATGGACGCTTCTGATTGGGACTTACCTCTCCCATCCACGGCCGCCCTTGGGATTGCGCATCTACATGATAAGATACGCAGAGTGACCATGAGGAGGGGGGAACGAGTTGTGCGAGAAGAACGTACGACGTCCAGACCGGGTCCCAGGAAGATGCTGGCGGGTCGGGAGCAGAGAAGGAGAGAGGCGTCAATAAAGCATATATGGTGATGGCGGGTGCTGATGACTTACTGTGCCCCTTTGGCTCTGAACTCTTCACCGATAGCGACACCTCTGGCACGCATCAACCTGCGACTGAATGTTGATGCGGCGTTGATGCCAGTAGGGTAGGCAGTGACGTTCTTGACGAGACGCATGCCCGCAGGACCGTCCTGCATGCATATAGACGGGATGCCGAGACGCGGGATGGCCTTGGTGTCCCCGACACATCGACCTGAGATAGAGTGTAAGGTCGCTGTACGACGGCGATGAGAGAGAATATGGACGCACGTGCAGAGTTCAACTGCCCCGTTCCAATGACAATCCCAAGCTTCTCGTCGAGAGTCATCTGGGCGACGACGTTGTTCGCGAGTCGATAGGACTCGTCCCATGAGCCTATAGAAAGCGAGCGTCAGACTCCAATTCGGTGACATCGACGGGTTGAGGTACATACGCGTAACAAAAGCATTGCCCTGGGAGAGGAGGAGACTGGCAAAGACGAACCCAGCGAGAATCATCGTGACGGTCCTTCGCAAGGTGTGGGGGCCAAAAGGCGACGCGATATCTTTTATACGTTTATGCGGCGACTTTTCGAGCCGAGCTTCTGGGCAACCGGACCACAGATTGAGCTTGTCCTGGTGGTATCGTCGCGTGATGCGGTGAAGAGCACGTCCAATCAGAAGAGACTGAGTTAACCTAATAATTATGCCTCCGCACATTCGCGTAACCGCGAATAATCACACACAGGATTGCCTAGGGATATTCCAAGCTAAAAACACGGCCGCCCAAGAGACTTTTAAGCTGCAGATCGTCCCTTGCTGTCGTCTGGGGCCAGGACGAGTCGGAGCTTCTGGTGGTCTTACACGACATCCTCATCCATCTTGTGGGGCACCTGCACCTGAGCTAAGGGCTTGACAGCGCGATGCTGTGCGAATATGCAGCAACGGCGGCCTGGAGTACTAAGTAGCATCTAATGAGCCTTCTTGGTGCCATCATCGACGTCAAAACACGATCTGAGCAGTTGGATGGAGGTTGGAGAAGAGGGGGAGGGCTCGGATCACTCGACCGTTCCAGCCGGAAGTAGCATCTCTTTCCCACACCCGCGTCAGGCGCCACACTTGCCCGCCGCAACGCTCAATCTATCTGCTTCCGACCACCTTTTCCCTGGAAGCACAATACATTCGAACAAAACGTGAACGCCCAGAGACGCCGAAGGCTGATGTAAACGAGGTACGCTGTCGAGCAGCGTCATTCAAGAAAGGAGGCAGGGCGTCATCCGAGGAGGTCACAAGAACGCAGTGGGGGCACGGAGGCGCATGGTCCCATGTGTTTCGCGCGCTTGCTGATCACTAAACTGACGAATCTGGCCAGGGATCTTCCCCGCATATTTCTGTTCTTGTGTTCCGAAGTTTTGGCGATAACGACTATTATTGTCCCCGACAGAGCGTGCGCTGCGTGCGTCAGAGTGGAAAGGTTGAAAGCGGTTGAAGGAGAGCCTAAATCCGTCAAATTCGCCACGAGAGACCACGAGGTTATCTTATCAAAATCACAAGCCCCTGCTGGATTTTGGACTTGATTGCCCCGCTCGAACGTGTTGGAAAGACTTGTCCTTCATTTTCGGTAAGTGTTGGGCGCACTAACATCTTCCATCTTTTCGACGTTTCACCATCCAATTTCTTGGATGACGCGAAAGAGGTCTTGGAGATTCCGACCACGCTGGACTTGGCCAAGTCTTCAGAAATGTTACGATGCTGGGATGCTGGGATGCACCAAACCTCCGTGCCAAGTCTACCTAATAAATTATAAGTAGGCGCTTAGCTAATAGTTGGACTTGGTCAAAATTTCCACTGCGTTGGCCATGTCGGGAAAAAACCTCTTCTTGCGGGGCTGAAGAGCAAGTATCACATTGTTCCACGCGGTAGAATTGAGCCAGGGCTCAAGACCAAATTTAAACAGAACCGAATAGGATGTGGACGTGGATCAGGCTAGAGATATGAGTTGCTAGACCAGTCCATGATGTCCGCTGAGAACCGTGCAATGGCAATGCCTCTCATGATGTCGCAACTCTAAACCTGCAAGCTCTTACATATATCTAGATTTGCACAAAATTTTGTTTGATATACACTCGCAAAAAGGAGAGGAAGACAGGCCAAACCTTCTAGCTTTCAAGTTCTTGTGCAATTTCCTCAACCCTATACACCTTGACCTCTCCTTTCGAATCAGTCCATATCACCCGTTTATTCACCGCCTCAGGATTCCGATTCCGAGATAGTATATCAAGCGACCATTTGACCCACTCTGAGCGTTCGCTGGGACTGGCACCGGGAGTTGAGGGATACAATCCAGAAGATATGTCCATCCTCAGACGGATTATGTGGAGGTTGCGGAGTTTCATGAGGGGTTTGATCCAATCCTGAATGTAAAGTGAAGGGAAGGCATGAAAAGTGAGGAGTGGCATGTGGATGGGTAGGCTTGGACTTACAAAACCAAGGCGCAGAGCAAGTCGATCTAGAGTTACGTCTCGGAGGTTGGGTAGATAAAGTGGCAGACCTAGGCAGGGTCGTGAGTATCCTTCAGATTCTGCTACGGAGGAATGGAATGAGGCTTACAGTCTAACGAGTACTTGGAGATCGAATTCTTGCTCAATGGTGCGCCGAGGACCTCCAGTTGGGAGTACTTCAAGACGAGATCCAAAGACCCCAACCAGGGCACATCCGTGAACGAATACAGGCGCACCATCCTTGGACATGAGTCTATGATAGGTGATCCCCACGAGCTCACAGAGATGGTACGGATTTGGGGGTAGGTGTACTGCTTGAAGACATTAAACATGAAGGAACGGTGCTTGTACGCAGCCTTGATATGTAGCTGTATAGTGTGCAGATTCGGGAAGAGTGCGATGCAGCGCGCGAGTTCCTCCATGACGGACTCGAACGAGTATTCGAGGACGGTGACATTGAGGATACTGTCCAAACCCATATCGTCATTTCAACTGCATCGGAGACTAGGAAATGCTTTTCGACGCACTTCACATGTACCGCTAAACTGGGGTCGCGAATCGTGACGACCTCCAGCTGACGAACTAGCTCCTGGGCATACCCTTTCCCCAGAGCCTGTCTCCTCGCAGACCTCCACCCGTGTCCTTGTCCACCATTACCCAGTGTCCCCTCAACCGCCTTCATCCCATCGTATACCTCGATCCTCTGCCATAGATACCTCAAAAACACACGCCGAAGCGCCTGACATGTCTGTGTCAGGGACAAGAGTGTGAAGTACCTGTCGTGATACTTCTCGGCTTCGGAGCCTTGGGGTATTTCGGGGGTGGGGACAGGCATTGCAGGGAATTGGGACGCGATTTCGAGGTAGAGCTCGTCTGGGAGCGCGGGGAGGCCGTGGGTGTTGATAGGTTGTCCGCTTGCGAGGAGCTGCTGGAGAGCAACTTTCTCTACCCGGTTGGAACGAGTTCTAGGGGCCATTTGACGCGATGGACTAGTAGAGTTGACAAGTAGGTTGACAATCGAGGATGAAACCGTTGCAATCTATGCCGCCGTGGAGTCAGGGGCTCGAAAGCAAATATTAGGATGGGAGGCATGAGTGCCTGCGGCGGACGATGACTCAGACAAATACACAGAGGCGGGAGCGCGACAACCTTCCCACGGCGGTCGCTTCATGGCGCATCAATAATTGATGGCTGATGGCGACGTCAACCTTGACCAGAACCTCCACAGTCCTTCGTCGCCGAGGTCTTTGGCCACAAATAATACTTACCTACAATGGCCCCAATAACTCGTTCACACCGCACCAAAGCTGCTTCGGGACAAGACTTTTCGGCCAGAATGACTGACGGGCTAGTCAACACAAGCGGGCTTCCGGCTCTTCCAGACGAGATATACCTCGAAATCGTCTCTCATCTACCTTCAATGCCTATACCGACCCTCAACAGGTGCTCACTTGAGGACGAATCCCACCGTGACAGGCACCAAACCCTCTTGGCGTTGACGCAGACCTGCCGCCACCTCCGACGGGTTTTCCTGCGTCATCTCTGGCAACGAATCGAAGTCTACGACTGCATGCAGACGAGCAAGGGCCATCTTGCTATGACGTATCCTAGACTACTTCCTGGTCGCCCTCCGGTGAACCTGGCTCACAAGGGGCATGCAGTGGAGCTTATTCGACAGCTCGAGACAGTCATAATGCGAGAGCCTAGTTTTTCTTTATACGTCAGGTGCGTTCCATCCTGTAGTTATATTGTCATCAATTGACACAAATGGATAGTATTCTGAATGTCTCCGTCCTCGAGTACTCTGCGAAAACAGTTCTCGAGGAACTTGCCCGCTGCATTGCCCTTCTCCCAAATCTTCACACCGTACAACTTTCGTTCACATTAAATTTCGATAGCTACCAATTTCTCGATGAACTATTTGGGAAGTACAACTATCCTCAAGTTCGCAATGCGTGCCTCTCAGACACTGCATCGCAATTCCTTCTAGCTTGTCCAAATGTATGCAGTGTAAATGCATTCATGAGTGAAAATTGGGATGGGTCTATTGGAGATATCTTTTTGCCACCCTCGCTCGAGATTCTGTGTACGATTCCCTTCCAGCAGGATGCGATATCAAGTGCGAATCCTTCCCAATTTTTCATGGGATCTCCTTAATGCGTTTGACAGATATTGTGAAGCAGCTACCCAATCTGTGCGAAGTGACTCTCGACCCTACCTTATTGCTACTCGGTTTCGTCCGTCTGTTGTCTTCGCGCTTCGAATAGACCCTGATTATCCTGGCTTTTTAGGACCAACTGAAACCTCTTTCCACCTTACAGCACCTCCACACAATACGTCTCGCGCTGAATGTGCATCCGCCGAGGAGATACTTTATGCGCCTCCCTGGACATCGAATACTCTACAAGCCTGGACGGGACATCACAGAGACAGCGCAGTGGGTCGAGTGGGCAAAAAATATTCTCGCGAGGACACCTCCGCAAGATAGTAAACGAGTCATTCTTGTAGACAAGCATGGGCAGGAGGAGACATACCAAGTCTGTTGAGTATTTGAGCTCCGGCTCATCGTATAGTATCGTAGGAAGCTTTCATACCTCATAAAATTCATTCCGACTTCCCAGATCTCTCCTTTCGGTACGAGTGACTACGGCCGTTACGATACCTGGCAGCTGCTCCGCTGTGAAGGCCGATTCCGGAGTCGCAGAGGAAAGTGTATTGATCCGTCGCCACGTGGGTCTCCGAGCGACCATCGGACTTTGTCGGACTTAGAATTCGATCTGGAGGACGACCATCGAAGCTCTTGCCGAACTGATACTCTGTCTCTCTGCGCCATTTTCACCACGCTCGACTTCTTCGTGGAAGGTCTTCTGCATATCCGACCAAACAACCACCATTTCGCATCTTCCCCGTCTCAATACCTGAAGACCTCGTTCACGTCCTCGCCTTCCAAACAACTCACATTCCATCGTCACGGGCGGTCGGAGCTTGGACCCTTTGTCTTTCTCCAACAACGAGCGTCCTTCCCAGAAATGCACCCATAACTCCCCCGGCGCACCGCAGGCGCTCGATACAGCTTCCTTCTGACAAAGAACCGTTCCAAGAATAGCCCATAAATTACGCAAAAATTGCCGCACAATGTACCCCCACCCTTTGTCCTACGCCCCACTGCCGTCTGTCAGACTTGTCACCTCTGAACGGACCCTCAACCCACGCACACACCCTCAGACACCCCCACGATGTCGATAAAGACCCTTCCGCCCGAGCTGCTGTATGATATCGTCGCGGACGTGGTTGCTGGATACGTAGATTGGGCAGTCACCTGTCCGCCGCGGGGCGGTTGGGAGACGATGAGATCTGGCTCGGAACACGACTTTGGTTCGGACGACGAAGAAGACGACCTCGACGAAGATGATGACGCGTCATACGAAGAGGACGATGGAGCCTATGAACAAGAGTCGGAGGACGCGAGCCCCCCACTTCCACCCCAGGACGACTTTTGTTCGACACCCACCGGTCTTGACAGCCTGCATGTTGACACGTCGCAGGAGGATCCGGATGACGACGACTACCTGGGGTTTGACGTGTCTGAGGACGGAGACGCGATCGATCCAGAGGATGCCTTTCAAATATGGTGTCTCATCGAGTCGAAGGAGAGGTTGCCCGAGAACCACATCCTCTCTTTGCTCGGCGTCGACCACTCTATCCGCGAGACGACCATTAAGATACTCGAGGATGCTATAAGCATTGAACGTGGTCCCAACGGAAGGTACGCCTCTTTATTCCTCTTTTCCTATAAGCCTCGCGCTCATACTATTTCTGCAAAGCCTGCACCCAAACCCTTGGCCCACACTCCGCCTCTTACGCAAACGCTACCGGATAGGACACACCCAACCCTTCACCCTATCCCACTTCCCCAAATATCACGGCCCAATGACGCCCTTCATTGAAGGCTACCTGAGCCTCGCGGGCATGGCGTACTTCCTGCGCAACATGTACCGGCTCGTGTCGTTCGACAACGAACGTAGGAGGGATGCTGTCACGTCGATGTTGAGCATGGCTGGGACGCCGAGCGAGATCTTGCAGCCTGTGCTGAGGACGAGGATCGCGAGGAGGGCATACATCTCGATGGTTCATATGAGGCGATGTGGGTATATTTGTGACCACTTTTGAGCTAGATCTCGCTAAACGTTTTTATTGATTGTAGACATTTCTGTGTCGATACACTGCAGTACCATCACGGACACGTATAAAGAAATATTCTCACTTCGTGGGACCAGGAGGAATCCAGGTTTCATTGTGCACGAGGTATACTCTTTTTCGACTCTGGCTAACGTGCTCTTGACATGTTTTCTCAGGACAAGGTGCCTATTTTCAAACAAGCTGTCCACGACTTTGCTATCTTCGACTTCAAACACATGGAGCGCAAACCTTATCCAGAACTACCTGGCATCTTGGTCGACGTACGTCCTCTACTTCTCTTCCTCCTCCATGCTTCAGGCTCTAATACCCTCCTCGCAGTTATCAGGCGTCATCCACCTTCTGAGCAGCATAAAAAAACTCAAATACGTCTCAGAATTCCGGGGAGTCGACGAAGTCATGGAAGTTGTTGCAGAGGCAACCGCCTTGCTGGAGCGGTGGAAAGTCCGACTGGAGATATCGTCCTATATCGTCCTTGAAGACTGGCCTGACATGGATGTTTCGGTTTCTGATTTGGTTGAAAGGCCTCTGTCACCTCTCTTATCTGACTGATTTTTTAATTGCTGTGTAGCTTCTCAAGTACTTCAATGATATGCGCCTTTTAATCCGACCGCGTCAATCGATGCGGCTCTCCTCTCTCGAGTCTTGGCAGCGAGTTCGCGACTGATTCGGACCACCGACGGCGATAACCTACTGCAACCGACGACCCCTGTGGATCGACCACATGCTCGCGCCTTGAATCCCTCTCCAGTTCTGGACAAAGCGTGTGTAATTTTATTTATTCCCTATGTGCTAGATCCTGGTTCTTTATCCCTTTCATCTCTTTACATATCTTTCTACTGGCCCCCTTTCTCTTTCTTTACCCTAACAGCACGATGGCCAAATTGACCGGTCTGCCTGCTGAGCTCCAGTACGAGATCGTCGCCGAGGTCGTCGCTGAGTATGTCGATCGGGCTATTACCTGCATTCCTGTTGTGTTAGGTCCCGTTGAAGTCGAGGATTCCGACGAGGATGGGTCTGAAGAGGAGGAATCGGACGACAGCAATGACTCGGCTGAAGAGGATGAAGAAGATGAGGACAGTGACGAGGACGCCCCATCAGATTCCGGGGACGATGAGGAGAGCGATGGTGAAGAGGGCGACGACGACGAACATGAGGACGTGTATGAGGAATCACCATGCGCCTGCTACAAAAATCCTCGCCTCCGGGCCGCACTTCGTAAATGGGAGGACAAGGACAGGGAGGAGAAGCTGCCTCCCAACACCATCAAGCCCCTCCTCGCTGCTTGTCGTGACCTGCGCGAGACCACGATGACCGTTCTCGGTGATTGCTTTGGACTGAAGAGGACAGCTGAGGGCAGGTGCGATTTCCTCTCGTCTTCCAGCATCATACCTCCTTCGAGAGTCCACGCATCATCCTGAACAGATGCATGAGGAGTTAGAATCGGACAAGGTTGCCTTTCCTACTGGTCTCCCTATACCACTTGTTAATCGCCGTCACTTACCCCTCCTAGGACGTTGAGCGTGCATCTCTGGCGTTCCTCATGGGCACGACAGTTTTAGTCAGTGACATGGCCTCCCTTTTGAACGAGGAAGACTTCCCTGGCTTTCCTGAACCCCTGGTCGAGGTAGGCCTATATCAAGACGCGTTCCTGTCGTTGTTACTGATCTAACTGGTCGACAGATGATCCAAGGTCTGCACCAACTCCTACTGAAGTCGTTGGAGGTGAAGAGGTTCCCCCAATGCGGTCCAGAAAATCGAAATACCAAGGCGGCCCTAGAGATGATTGCGCTTATTGTCCCGCAGATCCAGCAGTTGAAGCCATCGTCTTATTACGCTGATGTTCGAGTGTAACTAAGTCCGCGACGCGACCAATATGCGACAAGATGCGACGCGTCGACGCGTCCTTTTTCGTTCAAATTACAAATTAGGTGTTTGATGTCAGGCCCCTAAATATCATCGCGAATGGAAATCCTTTATCTATCTTTACTCTAGACTAAGATGTCATGCGTCTCAGTCGGCTCAAGGTTCTTCGCCTACAGCTCAGATGGCGTGGCGTCCGAACTTCCTTTCAACCTCTACCTCTGCTTTCTTTGCATCCACCCGTATGGCCAAATTCGCGGATTTGCCCGCTGAACTGCTCTACGAGTTCGTCGCGGAAGTTGTGAGCGAGTACGTCGATCGCGCGGTCACTTGCGAACCCATCGCCCTCCAAGAGGAAGCAGCAGCAGTAATCGACCGCCCGCAACAGGTGGTCTCAGCAGACGGCTCCAATCCTGACGGTGCGATGTCGACGGATCCACCAGACGATGACTGGGACGACGAAGAGGATGAAGACACAGACGACCCATACTATGATCCATGGGACAAAAGTCCTCAGGCGAAGCGTCGACGCGCCTTTCGCAAGTGGCAGAAGAAGGACAGGGAAGAGAAACTCCATCAAGCCACTCTTGGCCGTTTGCCATAACCTGCGCGAGGTGACGCTCAAGGTCCTCTGTGAAGCGTTCGGGGTGAAGAGGAACGTGGCGGGAAGGTACGTCCACTGTTTCTCGCATATACGCGCCTTCATTCAGCATTTATCGATTCTTCCTTAGCCTACGGCATAGCCCGTGGTCCATAATCTGGCGTATGCGGCGGCATTATCGCATCGCGCGCTCAGAGCCCTTCGAGTCACGACACATGAAGACCGACCAGCGGACGCACAACGCCAACTTCTACGACGCGTAATATATGCTCTCTGACTTCGGCTTCACCCTACGCGAGCTGGTCGACATCGTAAGAGACACACATGAGAAATTCGAGGCGACGCGTCTGGACATCTGGGCTGTCATGTTCGGGCATCAGGACTGCGTCGAGGCGATCGCCCACCCGGTTCTGAGGCGCAGGATCGAGCGTAGGGCGTATGCTTCCGTCTTGGCTGGCGAATGGTATGCTTGCTCTTGAACATGATCAGAGGATCGGTATGACGCTGACTGCTTGCCAGCTTTCAGCATTGGGAAATTGATTCGATACTTGCTCTCAACGTGGTATTGGATGGATACCTACTCACAGCAGGACAATGGGTCAAATTCGCGGTTAGATCGACGTGCCACCTACACAATTTCATCTCCGAGTCGCTAACCAACCTCGGTTTAGAAACAATCCGACAACTTCCTCTTAATATTCGAAGAGCTTGAGCGTAAGCAGAAGTGCAATTATGATGAAGTGGATTACCCTGGATTGCCTGGCCCAGTCGTTGAGGTGAGAGTCTTCGAGACAGAGTCTATCTCAGGGATCCCCACACTCATCGCTGCCACAGGCCGTCGGGATTCGCCAAGTGTTTCGAGATACTTTGGAAATCGTCGCAAGCCTTCCCCGATGTGGTCCAGAGAATGGGGACGTCACTAAGGCTGTGAAAATAGTGAAACGAGTCGCCCCTCGGTGGGATGAGTTGGCGAAGACCTCATTCTACGTCGATGTTTTGTAACGTCTCCTACTTGCATGCAAGCACAAGAGCAAATCCATTTTACCATTATTAATAGCAGTTGATACAGATAATTGAGAGGAATACAGCAGGAGGCCCTTTTCGAGCGAATGTTGAGGTCGTGAAGGTCATGAGTAAATGTAACATTGATAATTTATTCTTCTGGGTCTTCTTCGGCCTCCTCTTCGTCGGCCTCTTCGTCTTGATTTTTCTTCCCTTTCTTCCCCTTGGCACCTTTAGCTGGCTTGCTGCCAACAACCGTAGCATTAATCCTGTAAAGCGACACCAAAGTCTAAGCGCGACGTCCGACGGCCTGAAAGAACACACTTACGACAACATAATTGTCACCTTCTCCTTCCCACCTTCAGCGTCCGCCTCTCCTCCCTGCAGCTCGACAGTAATACGCTTGCTGCCTTTCCAACCATAACTACCCGTGCTGAAGGTGCTTGGGACGAGGGTAACGTTTCCAATGAAGCCAACGTCCTCAGCAGACGCGTCGGAAGGCGGAGGTGCTTCCTCCTTGCCCTCGCTGTCGACTGCGCCTTCCTTCTGGATGCTCGGCGGCGTATGCGTGAGGTGTACGTGCAGTGGGAGAGCCTTGGCCTTGAACTCGTCTGTGGTAGGGACCTGACAGGGAATAAGGGTGTGCTACTGCTTAAGAGAGGAAAGGATAAGCGCACCTTCACAGCCGCCTTCTTATTCTTTGCTCCGTTCCCATTCTTCTCTGTTCGCGCGACTTTGGATTTGGTCGCAGTCTCGGAGGTGTCGTCAGCAGCGGCGCGCTTAGTTCCTACACCATGGGGAATCGACAACAATCAGAACCCCAACGTCCGTGCAAAACCGGGGAAAGGCTCACCAGCCATTTTGTTCTTTAGGGTCTGAAGTGGGTCCCGGAGGACGTGGATTTGAGTGGGCAGAAAGTAGGTGGTGGGAAGGAAAAGAGAATAAGCAAGGGTTCGTCGGTGCTTCGCATTGTTTATATACAGAATTTGTCTGGGCCACAGTTTGATTTCTGGCCCGCGCCAGTGGCATGACGACTGATCAGGGTCATGACGTCACGCGTCAATCCGTCGCGTCGTGTTGCCCTTTTTTGGCTTCAAGCGACGAAGACCAACCAAACCCGACCTGAGATTCGACCTTCACCCGCTTGAAATATGCTGAATGATGCATATTTATCAATTAGGAGGAAAATCGACTATCTGCAATTGGTTTGTGTGACTGAGATCAAGCTATGTAGAGCGCTTTGATCTAAGTCTAAGAAACCAATTGATATTGAGTACGACCGATCCACCCACGGCGGAAGAATGCTTTAGAGGATAAAGATGGAATGAAGCTACCAGAGACGTCATCGCGTCCAAGAGGTGCTTGTACCAGCAGTCATGCATGAAGGTTCAAGTTGAGATACCGGGCAATTCATGATATGATGGCACACATCCCACCATCTGATATGGCATCTTTCACGTTCCCGCATTGAATACGAATACGGAGAAATTTAATAGCGAGCAGGGTGGGAGAAGGCATATGAAATTGGACTGCACGGGAATCTTATTTATTCCTTAGGTTGAGGCCTTCACGGCTCGCCCAAGACGGTGTCAGAGTCTTTTATAATCAGGAACATGACCTTCGATCCTTTTCCCAAAGACTTGAATCGCTGCGCAAAAGTCGAGGAACATGTTTTCGTTCAGATAGTACACTTGAAAAGATAGACAGGAAAAACAATTGCCATAAGCCTACATGTCGAATTCAAAATCCGAGTCCGAGTCGTTCTTCTTCTGAGATGACCTGATATTCTTCTGCGGACGCGCGTTGGTGAACGCAGAAGATGAACGCATCCTGGATGATGGATCGTCCGAGAGGTCATCCTCTAAGTCCTCATTATCTGATCCGCCTGTGCGCTTCGGACCTGGCCTGTCCGGAAGATCAAGGGCTCCTGTTACCAGGAGCCAAGCCTCGAGCTCTGGAGAAAGACTATTAGGGCGAGGATGGGAAATATTGCACATAATTCACCTTCTATCCGTCGTTCTTTGTCAGATCCCCATCCCATAACTTGGTTCTTGACCTCGCCTTTGCGATAGACGATGATCATGGGCACTCGGGCGTCAGGCAGGTTGGGTATGCACCTGTCGCCGACGATAGAGATAAACTTAGTGCGCGAATATCGCTGCGCAAGCGCATTAATATGCCGGGAGGCAAGATCACTCCTGGGAAGGCTGTCTCGAAGGGTCAGGATTTTGTGGGGGCATAAACGAGAGCAGAATCACGGACCCGTCTTTATACAAGAAGCACACTACTGCCGTTCCCTTCTCGTCGTCATCGTCCTCCTCGTCCACTTTGCTTGCCTCTGTCACCTCACGGGTGTAATCGTCTCGTCCGATAGGATAAACTCGGCCAAATCGAGCTCGCTTTTGCTCTCGCCTCTCTTCTGCGAGCCGTTGTTGGCGGTGCTGCGCAATAAAACGCTCAGTCTGGTCGTCCTTCGAGTCTTCTGCGAGCTCCAAGAGCTCCTTCGATGTGAATTCGTTTAGGACATCGTCGAGAGTCGGAGACGGAGGCGGTGATGGGCTCGGAGGTGTTGGCTCGCGAGGAGGGATGATACCATACTTCCGGAGGGCGTCGTTGCTAGATTTTGTTCTTGAGAGACCACTATCGTGACGGATAGACTTGTTGAATCTCACAATTCAGTATCTTCATTTGGGTTTACGGCCATGTTCGCTCTATGGTCTGGCCGGGGTTTCAAAGTTGACAAATCGGAACAAACGAGGAAGGTGGAAGACGTACACCAAGTATTCCGCGATCTCCCTTTTTAAGGTCCGAGTTACGAAAAGGCGGTGAAGGGCCTGCGGATGTGGTTGAGAAGGAGGTGACATTTCTGCGCATTTCGCAGCTGGTCAATCTAGCCGGACGGAGCTGCAATGGCGGCCCGGTTTGCCGACTCGACAGCGTTCCCACCGTCAGGATCTGAACCATCAACAAAGCCATGAATGCTGCAGCGCTACTCAATCTTCATCGTTGATTATCACCTCCTTCAACACGACTCTCCTGACTCAGTGTATATACCCAGTTAATCCCTCTTTTCTTCCGCCAACGACCTTGATCTTTCAACGCGAGATGGCCTCAGACCCCAAAGCAGACTCTCTGCAAGCTGTTCTTGACCAGATACCCCGTCGATATCAAGAAGAGATCTTTGCGAAAGCCCAGAAAAGTGCGTCGTTTGATCTTAAAGCAGAGGGAGAATGGCTAAGGCGACTCAGGCAACATCATAGCTGCCCTTGACACCGGAGCTGGCAAAACCCTAATTGCTTTGCTCCTCATCAAGTGGACCGTTGCGCAGGAAGCATCTCGAGAGAAGATCATCGTATTCTTGGTTCCAAAAGTTACCCTTGTCAAGCAGCAGGCAGATTATATCAACAAGCATACTCCCGATTCAGTGAAAATCAAGCAACTCTCTGGCGCGATGTCCTTGCAGCTCACCGATAGGAAAGGATGGCGCAAGTGCTTCGAGAGCAGCCACATATTCGTCATGACTCGTATGTCTATTCCACCAGGCGTAAATCGCTGTCTAAACCTCGATTGCCAGCTAAAATTCTTCACAACCTTATAACCCATTCTCTCTGGAATATCAACCAAATTTCTCTCATGATATTTGACGAATGTCATCACACCCGCAAGCAGGATCCGTATAACCAAATTATGCGCGAATACTTCCACGTTCCTCAGTTTGAAAGGCCCAAGATATTCGGGATGACTGCATCCGCCATCTGGGATGTCAAGAATCCCCAGGCCTCTCTTACTCTTTTGGAAAGTAACCTGGATTCGAAAGTCATAGCCGTACGTGACAATATTGAAGAATTAAGACAATGGGCCCCAAGACCCAAAGAGGTGATGCATATGTTCATTTCCATTCTTTTGCTATTGCTCATTCTCATTCCAGGTGCTCAAATACTACCCGTTCCCTCCAGAAAGCCCGGCAAGCCCCAACCCGACAATATACCGATGCCTCCAGGTAATAGACACCTCTGTTTGGGATGACTTGGACATCCCATTCAGCAACATTGACATCCGTTACCAAGTCACGCTCGGCAACATAGGTTTTTACGGAGCGTCAATGTTTTTGTATCTGGAGATTCAACACTTCATCGAGTCTAAATTGGCCGAATACAAACGCCTACAACTCTGCCGCCCGCATGATGCAGAGAGCATGGAAGTCGACGTTGGGCCGTCATCTATACCTGTCAGGCCGCTGCCAGACCAGATCTTCCTAATCAAGGAAATCTTGCAAGGGTTCGAGGGCTACTTTCCGCCTAGCATGACCTCGCCGATTGTCCCTATTCCTTTAACCATGGACATGTGCACACCCAAAGTCAATGTCCTCGTGGACATTCTTCTCGAAAATTATACCCCTACGTTCCAGGCCATCATCTTCGTCGAACAGCGTCAGGTCGCGTCAGCGCTTTCCAGGATCATACAGGTCCTTCCCGAGCTTCAAGGGAAAATCCGTAGTGCATTTCTCGTCGGAACAGGTGTAAACAGTGAGGGGATGACGAGGCAAACGAATCAGGCCCACGGTGATCCTGTGAAATTGTTCAAGAGCAAGGAAATAAACATCCGTACGTGTTTTGCGTTTCTGCGTATAATTTTCCGACTAATCCTTATCAATAGTTATCGCCACGTCAGTTGCAGAAGAAGGTCTGGATTTCGACGTAGGTCATGATTTCCCCACCTAATCTGTTTGCTGAACCTGCTCGTAGGGGTGTGATCTCGTCATTAGGTTCGATCCGCTGCATCACATGATTGCGTACGTCCAATCTCGTGGTCGAGCAAGGAACTTCAACTCTACATTCGTCGTGATGTGCCAGGAGGACGACAGGGAGTTTGAGGCGAAATATCGGGCTCTACAAGAGAAAGAGCCAGAGGTCACCTATATGTATCAGACTCGTCACATCGACATCGAAAGCGACGACGAAGACGGTGATGATGACGGAGACGGCGTTATAGATCTTGCAGATCGAGAGCGACTTGTCGTCGAATCGACGGGCGCGAAACTCACGTACGACAACTCGGTCAGCCTGTTGACCTACCTATGCTCGTTGATACCCCGCGATGCATTCACCCCGGTTCACAAACCCAAGTATACCGGCGATTTCCAGTCTACTCTTGAGCTTCCTCGAGCTCTACCTCTCTCGCCCAAAGACCTCGTGTACACCGGCCCATTCAAGAGGTCAAAGAAAGAGGCACGGCGCGCGGTTGCGTTCATGGCTGTGAAGCGCCTGCACGACCTCAACGTCTTCGACGACTACCTGCTCCCTGTGGCGAATGACAGTTCGGACCAAGATGTTAACGAATTCATGGTCGGTCATGGACTCAGTGCCAAGCTTCGGAAGGTGCCTCCTGTGATGCAGGTCGACGTGAAGGACCCTTGGCGTATGGACGAGAAGCTGTGGCTTCATCCTGTCGCCATTGACGATGAAGTTGTTGCCGGACTTGTTACGGGTACTGATCTTCCTCAAGAGAAAGCCCTGGTCGGGTCAAGCACTGTGCGCGTCTTTCCGGGCAAGCGTCTTTTGTTCGACCAAGAATTCGAACGCGAACAGAGGAAAATGATGAACGATTTCACCAAACTTGGTATCTTTTTCTCCATCACACGGAGCCCATTCACAGCACCCCTCAGCTTGTACCTCGTTCCAATCACGCCTGCACAACTGCCAGACTTTGCGGCCATGCTACTTCTGCTCGCAAAACCAGGCGGAAGCAGCGACTGGAGCAAGATATCAGAAGAGTATCACGACAACCTCTTGGTGATCCCACGGTACCGTTTGGGCAGCATCCATGCCCTTCGAAGGATTAGGCACGATTTGTCGCCCTTGTCGCAGCCACTGCCTGGGACACACGAAGCGAAAGCGGGGTGCTCGACTTATCACGAGTATTGGGTCAAGAAATGGTCGAGAAAAAAGGGCAGCATCGATCTTCGAAACGATGGTCCTCTCCTCGAAGCAGTCACTCTTCCCCATTGCGATATGGGTGCATATCCACTGAACCCGCCAACAGATTGTGCTCCGCCCGCGCATGATGTCAAGGAGCACAGCCGGATGCTGCCTCAGAACGGTACCCTCTGGCTGGCCTTCTCTTTCCAGATGCGCAGAGCTTACGAGGTCCTGCCAGCCCTTTGCCAGCGCATCACTAATGTCTACCGGGCCCGTTGTGCAAGGCACGAACTCAAGCTGCCATTCGTGCCTACGAACCTCCTCATCGAAGTCTTCACGATCCCGTCTACGCAGCTCGGGTTCAACAATCAGCGGCTGGAGACGCTCGGTGACGCGGTGCTGCAGGTGTGCATGACAGTGCAGCTGCTAAATGCATTCCCGAGTCGGCATGAGGGCCAGCTGACGAAGATGCGGCAGAAGGTGGTCAGTAATCGGTTCTTGATGCAGAGAGCGCTGGATGTTGGCCTTGAGCAGTATGTGAACAGCGAGTTAGCGAGTGTGCATAAGTGGCGGTATGTCTTGGGCGGCAATAATAAGAAAGGCGGCGGCGAAGATGATGGACAGCAAGGGAAGCAGGAAGAGGAGGAAGAAGAAAGGGCGAGGCGAACCGTCTCTCGCGAGTTCCCTCGCAGGAGCTTGCAAGACTGCATGGAGGCCATTCTGGCAGCCAGTTTCCTTACAGGCGGGATCGAGCACGCTTTGCACATGGGCACTGCGCTGGGCCTGGAGTTTGGTGGCCCGTTGCCGTGGAATATGCGGTATCGCATCGACGCGCCCCCAAGCCCTATCTCGCCCCTGTTTGAGTCGCTGGAAGCCAACCTTGGGTACAAGTTCAAACATGGGCACCTCTTGCTCGAGGCACTTACCCACCCTTCGTTTGCGGTTCCGTCGGAGGGGCCGTCGTACCAGCGACTCGAATTCTTGGGCGATGGTAACTATCTTCAACTCGCCTGCGATATTTCTCTGTGCTGATGTTATATCTTCTAGCAATCTTAGATCTCGTCGTGATCAAATACCTCTACGACAAACTCCCCAACGCGACCTCACACCAACTCGCCTTCCCACGTACGCGTGCCATCTGTGCTCAGACACTCGCCAACCTTGCCGTGCGCCGCCTCGGACTGCACAAAATGCTGCTCATTAACAGTGTCGAGCACACCCACGCCATCGACCGGTACGTCCCCGTGCTCGAGCGTACGTCCGGTGCGGATGTCGTGCGGACCGGGTGGCGGCACGACCCGCCCAAAGCTCTGTCGGATGTGTTTGAGAGCGTTGTTGGCGCGGTCCTCGTGGACTCGGGGTATGATTATGAAAGGACAGCAGCAGTGGTTGAGTACGTGATGGAGGAGGTTTTGGAGGTGTTGGTGGAGATGGACCTGGCGAAAGACCCGGTGTCACTGTTGATGGAGTGGAAGCAGGCGGAGGGGTGTGTGGCGAAGCTTGAGTTTGAGTGCATAGCTTTCCTCGTTCTTGACTTTTTGATTTGTTTACTGACTGCTGTTCCTTATTTTCCCTCCTTTTCGAAGACTTAGGAAAGTCGTAAAAGAAGCCGGCCAGTGGGATGCAGAGCAGGAGGGCATCGCCGTACTCCTGCATGACCATCTGCTCGTGGCACCTGTCGTCTGGAGTAGCCTCGCGGTGTCCAAGTTTGTCGCTGCCGAGCGGGCCCTTGCCGTCCTGCAGGACGCAGACTCGGACCACTCCTTAGCGAAGCTGTGCACCTGCTCGAGTCCGATGGCGGTCGACGGACAGGAGGGCAAGGAAGGCACGCCGAGCACGGACTGCCACGACGCGCAGGAGGTTGTTGACCTCCTTACCGGTATCGGCATCGACGATCACATTCGAGGCGAAGATCAAGACAGGGAGAACAAAGCCGAGGTAGAGGTCAACAGCAAGAATACTGAAGAAGTCAAGGTCCTCCACGTCGGTCATGGATCGGGCATGTTGACTGACCAGAGTAACCTAATCTTGCATTAGATTCCTCGGGGCGGTCAACATATCTGATGCCGTGTATGTATGTACTGCCGCTAGCAGCGAGGGTGGGTGGGTTCAAGTGATGAAGGCAAGGAAAGATATCTGAATTACAGGATGTAACAAGAGCAAGCGCAAGGAGTCATGGTGTTGGGATTTGTGTGATTGGATTTGTTTTCGATATTCGTAAGTAGATTTGGTTTCCTGAATACAGTATGCGTATTAAGTGCAGTTTGTGTGCTCGGGATTTGTACTAATCCTCCGCACACTCTCTCAGGTTCGGTGGTTGCTCAGTGATTTTGTGGTTACTTTTCTGTCGATGTTTTCGCGCAGAATGCCAACAACATATGACGTCATTAATAACCGGTAACCGGTAACCCCTGACTGAGATCATCGTTCGCCATCGTTGTTGACGCTTCTTCGACTACGACTTGACCCGTCGTAATGTAGACCTCAACGGCTACCACCCTTACGACTCTCTAGTGCCCATGCGATTTGCAACCAATGGCATCGCCCCTCCGCATATCCTCTGCCTTCCTGAACAGCCTCAAAGGCCTCTTCCCCGAAACCCAGTCGTCTGCTTACGCGAAGCCATCATGTACGCATCTCTCTTTCTCCAGAACAGCGCGAGGCCCTCATCGATGAAACGAGAAGACTTCAAGAACCCGTGGTACATCGCCGCCGCCGTCGCCTTCAGCGCGTCGAACAAGCCCGAAGGCGTTCCCAGGGTGTTCGAGCATGCGCTAGCCGATCTGCGTTCGACTCCGACGATCCGGGGTACGAAAGGAGGTGTGAAGGTGAGAAGGCCGGGGAACGAGGACGAGGACGAGAAAAAGATTCTGGCGCGGAAGATGCGCGAGGCGCTGTTCAAGTCGGGTCTGATCTGCGGGTACCCGAGGGCGATCAATGGGCTGAGGGCGTTGCATGCAGTCATGCCTGAGGAACTGAGGGATAGGAAGCTCCTGAGGTGAGGCGAGCCTCCTGCTGTCTTCCTCACTTGTCTTCTGGAGGCTCAGAGTCGAGATCGAAAACTGATCGGAGGTTGGACTGCTACATAGAAACCCGAACGTCACGTTTGGAGAATACGAGCAAGCGGGTGAAAGGTTTTTTGAGACGCTGTATGGAGAGACGGCGGAGGACGTTCAGGGGCTGTTGGATGCAGTTTATCCAGACATGGGTGCGTCCCTTCAGTGTTCACCGCATCGATGAAACGGCCCCCACTCCGATCCATTTTCATTTTCTGTAGGTTGGTTCTCGAGGACCATAGGCTACGGCCTCGTCTACGGGCCCGCCCTCTCCTCCTCCTCCTCTTCTCGTTCCTCTACCCAAAAGCGAATACAAACACATATCTTAACCTCACTAGAGACGTCATACACCCTCGTTGCAGCGCTCATTACGATCGACACGCCGCAGCAGATCGCGTGGCACCTTGCTGGGGCGCGACGCGCAGGTGCGAGTGTGGAAGAGCTGAGCGCGGTGAGGGAGGTTAGTGAGCGGGTTGTGGTGGCGGTGAAGAAGGGAGGTGAGCTGTCGTCTCGAGCGAAGACGGCGTAAACGATGAGGGGAGGGTACGAGCTGGGCTGTCGAGATACTCGCACGGTTCTCTTGCGTCGGCGGAGACAAATCGAGTGGACGACATTCAGGAGGACCATTTTTATATCAGTGACACAATGTGGAACTATTAGGTCTGCCTAGAGAGACCCAGCGGGGGCTGCGTATCCATAAATGTCCGAGCGAGAATGCCAGGCGACGAGGGGGGGTGAGTTGTCGTGAGCGAGGTCAGGGAACAAGTCGGAGATCAGAATGGGTTTTCATGCGTTGGCGGAGGCGAACCTCGAATCCCGCAATTCTCCAGGAAAACCACGACGGAGTTGATATTTTTTCAAAAAGCTCAACACCAATGATGTCGACATCCCCTTCATCGTTGAAAGTACTGTGTCATGAGGCAAACCGACGGGACTTTCGGAGCTTTAGGTTCGAAGTCGTCGCTGAAGGGATAAAAGGTGAAGAATGGAACGGTCATAACCTCATAACCTATGTAACGACGGCTATGAGGGACCGAAGGGACTAGAGACCATTTTTCTCGCTCATTTGGTGACTTCCTTCTGTCCGGGCTTTTGGTTACTTTTTCCCTTTTCATTTTCGGCTGACAATTATGAATTTGTGCTCGTTTGTTACTTCGTCCGGGGTCCCTTTTCATTCTGTCCTTATTTTCCTCCTTGTTTCGACCACATCACGTTCCTTCTTGATTATAATTTATGAAAAACGTTATTTTAAATATACAGTGTGTATGAAATAAAGGCGCCTGCAACGATATCGTGGTTTTCTTAGCTGAGGCTTTCATGAGCGACTCGATCATAACTTCCTATTTGAGCAACTAAGATACCAAAATGGGCTTCCCCAAAACTTTAGCTCGACTGGGGTGTACCCACGGGTGTGACATTTCTTTCTCAGACGTCCACTATCTCTCCTCGCACATCGAGATGAGCTCCCCCTCGATGCGACCGTATACATTGAGTGGCGACGTTCAAGAGTGGCTCATCCGACACAGCAGTCACTGGGCAGGCTCCTCATTGGTGAAGGTGACATTGTAAGCAATTTTATGGGTCCATCCTATTCATCTTTTCTCCTCTGACAATCCAGACTATATGCCACTGTTCAATGCTCGCACCGCTGAGACTAAGATTGACCCTGGAGACAAACTGCTGATATTCTGCGCGGGCCGATGTATAGCAAGTGGACACTTGCACTCTCCGGCTCTTGTCGCTTTCGTACAACCTACATCTCCTGCTGCCTCTGCTAGTCTGCGTCTTCTTTCTGTTGTCTTTTCTCCTTCTAGGAGGGATTATATAAGCAAAAAAATCCGCATCCATGTGCGGGCTTTTTGGGCTGTGACATTACATAACCTTTCGCAATCTACTAGTTTAAATCGGGTTGTCTGGATCCTATGCCCTATATTGGTAGACCAATTAGCACAGTAATCAAGTGTATCTTGGATTACACTCGATTTCTAGCCTCGCAAGTTTTCAGTCGCCGTCGGCACAGCATTGAACGAGGGATTGGCGAGCGAGTAGACCGCACAGCGCCGAACACTTCTTTTCCGTTGTCTCAGTTGACGGACAGGTGCCGGTCAGCGTATTAATTACGTTGGGTATATATCTGCGTCTCCATCCATCATCTTTCCATTTCCCATGAACTATCGAGTTATCGAGCACACGGTGTACGGCGCGCATCGGTCCATCATGTAACTATATCGGCCAGGGACCAGGGTGGTGACCTAACGATAACAATTCAGATGATAGGCGCCCACCTCGGATCTCGTAACTCTCCAAGAATATTACCGAGTAGACATCTTTACCTATACAGCCCGACAAAACCCTGTTCTCGGGTGACTCCCCAAGCACTGAGGAAAGGACACCAAAGAGGACTCATAAGGGTTTAGAGCACAGCAACATCTTAATTACGTATCAGTCGAGATGAGCGCCCAATGTCATCAGTCCTGATGTACGCTTTCTCAGTGCTCGAGTCTCCCCTCCAGAGACGTGAAGCTAATTATCTGGATAGGGGCACTTGGGCTCCTGGGCTGCCAATTACGCAATTATCCCCCTGACCAGGTCTTTCTCTTCCTACCCCTTCGTAATATGTACAGCGAACAGGGCACTTGGGCAGCGCTCTAGACGTCTGGACGCCATGATATCATCTTGAAAGCTCTGACGTCCCTGCAGGGAACGCAGGTCTAGCTCACGGTCGATGTCACCGAGAAGAACTTCTTCGACGCAAATCCAGGTTCCAGACGACCGGGCAACCAGGTCGTCAGACGCGAAGAAGCCCAAAAAAAAGGGGGGAACGTCAACACATTCTATAAGTAACCTAGGAGGACCTGGGACATCCCGTTAGACTTTCAGAGTTTTAGGCTCGAAGCCGACGAGCCGTCAAGGAGATAAAAAGTGAAGAATCGGACTATGTAGTGACGTCGAGAACGACGAGGGGGGAATGCAGGAACATGTAACATGTTGCGAGTCGGCAGAGTCTCAGTAAAGGGCCTAACCAAAGACCAAGCAAAGTAGGCAAGAAACACAATTCCAGCTTGATAGAAGACGAAGGATATAAGAAAGTCATGGTCCGGACTCTGGAGGGAGAGAGGAGATGGTCCATCAAGATTCATCAACAGCAAAAAAAGGACTAGAAAAGCCGGCCAGCCATAAACAGGAAGGTTGACACCGAACGCGAATACCAATCTTCCAACGTAAGAGCGTAAGAGTGAAAGAGAGAGAGAGGGGAGAGAAAATAGACAGATATTGGATATATTTAAATGGCAAAAACGAAAAAGGAAAAAAAAACAGAGTGAGAGTGAGAGACGCGAACAAAAGGAGGAGGAAGAGAGGACAAATTGTAAATGTAATCTTGGTGTGTCGTACGTTTGATAGAGAGAAAAAAGAAATGATAATTCGTAAGTTCTGACGAGCATAAGAGGCGGGGGGCGTGAACGTGAACGTGAACGACGGAGCGAACGGCGTGGGTCGGGTGGAAGAGAGGTATCGAAAGAATAATGGAGACGGAGACGGAGAATAGGTGGGTGGGTGGTGTTGAATAAAGGGGAGAACGGAGGTGGGTGCGGGTGTGGGGTGGTGTGGGTGAAGAGAGGAGGAAGGAGAAGGGGACAGACAGAGACAAGAAATCCGAACCCGCGCACGCACGCGGTTGAAGATGTAAGAGATAAATGATGAGGACGTAAAGTAACCACCTTCCTCCGAGTCATGATTCAGGCCAAGTCCCTTCCTTCCCTTCCTTTCCCCCTTCCAGGGCCTTCCGTACCTTCCTTCCAACCCTCCTTCCTTTCATTTCCCGCCACCCTTCCCACCTACCCCTCCTCGACCTCCTTTCCCAATTATCGACCTCCACCTCCACTCCATCTCCATCCAGATCCAAAGAAAGATAAAAAAGGGGTCGTCAAATGAGCCGGGCTAGCTACACAGCAGCAGCGAAAGCTCAGAGGATGAGACACAGTTTTTTTCCTCTCCCCTTCAAGACGGGCGGCTCGAGGGCGGCCACGATTGCCTGCAGGTGGTGATAAGGCGTCAGCATCGAGGCATCAAAGCATGGACGAGGCAGGCACGCAAGGCGAGAACGCACGCCAGCAGAAAGGTCCGAATCCCAAACAAGTTAGGAAAGGTTAGGAACCATCCTGGTCGGCGGCCAAAGCAAGCCATCCCAGCCAGCCAGCCAGCCATCTCAACTGAGCCGGCCCCATCAAAAAACTACTCACCTCATCAAACACATTCTTCAGCCCCTTCTGCGTCAACGCCGAGCACTCCACATACTTGACCGCGCCCAACTCGCGTGCAAGGCGCTCGCCCTGCTCGCTCGTGACCGGCCTCTGCTTCTGCCGCGCCAGCTTCTCTATCACCTGGGCGTCGTCGCGGAGATCGACCTGGGTGCCGACGATGAGGCAGGGGACGCCCGGACAGTGGTGGTGCACCTCGGGGAACCACTTCTCCTTGACGTTCTCGAAGGACGCGGGCGAGGTGACGCTGAAGCAGACGAGGAAGACGTCCGTCTGCGGGTAGGATAGCGGGCGCAGGCGGTCGTAGTCTTCTTGGCCTGTTGTGTTGGGAGTGGGATTGCGTCGGGGTTGACGGGGTATGACGTGGGTGGGTGGTACGCGGTGGGTGGGAAGGTGTGCGGGTGCAGTGCAATGCAAAGATAGTCGTCAGTGGTGCTGTGGAAAACTCGAAGGATAGAACGAGAGGAAGGGGACGCACCGGCAGTATCGAACAATCCTAATGTATAGGGATCCTCGCCAATCATCACAGTGACCGCATAGTTATCGAAGACCTACGTAAGAGCGTAGTGGGCTTTTCTGGACCGAACAAGGGAGGTAAAACGGCGAGTACGTACAGTTGGGACGTATTCGCTTGGGAACTTGTTCGTGGTGTACGAGATCAGGAGGCAGGTCTGTTGGACGAAGGCAGCGAGGGGGTCGAGTGCAGGATCAGTATGCCATCCACCAACACACGACGCAACAACACGAAAAAAGGCCCAGAAGCCAGCAAAACCAAGGACGCGAATGACGCAATCCCATTCCAGCGAAAAAAAGCGACTCGCGCACCTTTCCGACAGCACCATCTCCAACAACTACACACTTGATAGTCTGCATGGTTCCTCAAACACTTCAAAAACTGCGTCTAATGTTCAAAAAATGGGGGCGATTTCCTGTAGGTGCAAGAAACGTGAGCACGCAGTCGAGTCGGTCGGGAGCGAGCCCGCGCGGGGTGGGGCGCAGCTTATCGCCTCTGGGCTGGTGCGGCGTGGCAACGGCGCCTCGTGGCTGTGACCCATCATGCTGCTCCTCTTTCCGAGGAGCGCTGCGCACTGGGGCCTGTCCACCCGCTCAGACCCGCGAGAGGTACTCACCGATGGGTCGTGTGCTACGAACAAGACGGGGCGGGGAGCTCTTGGGAGTGGAAGGGAGGTGGAGGGCGTTCGCTTGCGGGTCGGTTGGTCGGTGGATAGACTGGGCTGGTGCGGTAATAGGGTGTGCAGTGCGTTGTTGTCTAATCTGCAGATAACCCTGGGGTGCTGTGTGGACGGTTGTGTGAGCAGCGGGAGAAGAGATGAGGGAGGGGGTGACTTGCGCTGGCTGGGAGTGGTTGAGTGCTGGGGCTGTTGGTTGCAACGACCTGATCGCCCGAGGTAAAGGAGCACGGCCCTGGGCGTGGCAGCACACCAAACAGATGCAAACACAGTTCCATTCGCCCCATCCATCCGCCCCTGAACACAAAAATCAACTACGACAATAGGTAGGCGCTACAAGATAACTACGTGTTCTATGTACAACAGTCCGTGGCTACAAAATACACACATTAGATTAACTCTACGCTATTGTAACAATTTATAGATATCAAGAAAGCAAAAAAAAAACTTGGAAAGCGAGGTGTCCACAGCGTCAGTCTGATATGGTCTATCGAACGAAAGATTCATTATTGCAGCTTCTGTCTCTTCCGGTGCACACCATCCTCCGGGCCTACACACAGCGGGCGGAACAAAAAGTCAGTCCAATCCATCACACATCTCATCCGAAAACGAAGTGCTTACCAGCACTGCTACTCTCACTCCTGTTCTGCCCCGACGGCGCAGCCTTGGGTCGCGGCCACCAGAACAACCGGCCCTGCTTCGTCCCGCTCAGCATGAGCCCATTCACACCAGCACGCCCGTCGAACGACTACAAACCAGAAGAAGACGCAAAGCGCACAATCAGCACCCACCACGGACTATCAGCGGGAAAACCGCGAACTGCTTACCGCGATCGCTTGCACCACATCACCTATATAAACCCAAAAGCGGTTAGCCACCGACTCTCCGCTAGACGCGCTCGAGAATACCCTACGCAAAACCGACTCACCATCCGGATGCTTCAGCCCATACACGATACACCCCTTCCTCCGATCCCACACCAGCGCGCACCCATTAATCGTCCCAAACACCACCCCAGCGCCGTCCGTCGCGAACATCGCAGGGAACTGCTGCCCGCGCCCGTCCCGCGCCATCACCTGCACCTTCTCCGACGTGTACTGGCGCTCCACCGCCGACTTGCTGTCACCATTTGTGGCCACGGAGGAGGAGGCGGTGGCGGTAGAGGTGGTAGAGGCAGAGGAGGGCTTGAACAGGACGAGCGAGGCGACGCCCCCTTCCTGCCCGATGAGCAGCTGCGTCTTGTTCGGGTGGACGTCAATCGAGGTGCTAGAAATCCAACAACAGCATTATCGCATATCCCGGTTAGCCGTTTTGTCCAAAACGATTACATGTGGAGAGACTTACATCGCCCTCTTCAAAGGCAAGAACGTATGCACCCTCAGCGTCCCATTCGGGACTTCGCAGTACCACAGCACCCCGTCCTTGCACCCGCCCACGAGCCCCGCGCCCTCTTGGACAAACCTTATAGCTGTAACCCCGGCCCGCACGATCTCCCGCTGAGCAGCCCACTTGCCCGAGATCAGGAGCCAGAGGTGCACACCGGCGAGGGTGGACACCGCTATGCGGGGCTGGAGGGCTGAGCCTGAAGCTGAACCGGAGGATTTCTGTCCAACGCTAGTCCCAGTTCCGGGGGCGTACGCAAGGCAGAGCGGCCCTTCAGAGGACGCTGCGCCTGGTACGACGAGCACTTTGGCGTACTTCCATTCCTACAAAGGGTAATAATGCGTAATCGGGAGCGTCAGCTTCACGTATATGTCAAGTATCAATGGGGCCAATATGTCAAGAACCAATGAATGGAATGTCAAAGGACCAACGCTAATGGAAATGAAAGAAGAGAAGGTCGATGGAGCACGGAAGACGGAAAGAGGTTTGGAGCCATAAAAGATGGGAGGAGATAGAGAGGAGCAGAGAAAACGTGTCGCACTGCACGTTACGTGCGATGTCGAACAAGCTCGTATCCGCCTAGGCTCGCACCTGGTGTCGTTCATGAATCATTTCATCTCGACATTAGTTCGTGCGTCATCGGCGCGTTTAACGCGCTCATACACCCGGTAGCGGCGATGCAAACACCGCCGAGCGAACACCGCCGAGCGAACAGTCTATCTCCCACTCCAACAACTCTCCAACCACCAAAACACACAAAAAAGAATAAGACGAAACCAAGGGGGTAAAACGAAGCGACACGAACACGAAAACGAATCCACCAAAACCAAAACCAGAACCAAAACAAAACCAAAACCAAAACACTCACATTCCCACTCCTTACCGACGTCGCCACCACCCCATCCGCGCCAAGCGTCATCACGCCCGCGTCGTTCTCGAGCCAGCACGCGCCGACGAGGCCCACGTTGTGCGCGAGCCGCGCGACCTCCGCTGGCGCCGGCGTAGCGTGCGCGTCGGTGGTGTTGGTGTTGGGCGGGTTAGACCAGATCCGGAGAGTGCGGTCTGCGCCTGCGAGATTAAACGTTCAAGCGTTAGCGTTGGTTCGAGAGAGGAGATAGGAGGAAACGAAGGAAGAGGAAACGAAGAAAGGAAGGAAAAAGAGCGAATACTCACAAACCAACGCGACCATCTCCCCACTCGGACTGAACACGATCCGCTGCACGCCCACGTCCGCACCGCGTGCGCCCTCGAGCTGCTCGCGCGCGTCCGGCTCAGTAGCGGGCCAGTTCGTGCTCTCCCTCGCGTCCCTCTCTCTCTTGGTATCCCGCTTCTTTGCGTCTCTCTCCCTCTCTCGTTCCCGCTCCCTCTCTCGTTCGCGTTCACGAGTCGTCTTCGCCGCCCGTCCCCTCTCCCTCTCCCTTCCGCGCCCCCTTCCTCTCGCCGTCTCCCTCTCCCTCTCGCGACTTCTCGTCCGACTCCTCGTCCGACTCCTACTGCTGCGACTACTCCGACTCAGGCTCCTCGTCCGGCTCCGACTCCGGCTCAAGCTGCTACTCAAGCTGCTGAGACTCCTACTCCTGCTCCTGCTCCTACTCCGTTCGCGTTTCAGCGGCGGAGGGCGATAGGAGGACCCCTTGAGCAAGGGCAAAGATACGGAGAAGGCGGCGGGGGCCATGACCCTCGCCAGCGGTTTGGCGGGCAGGGGGTGGGTGAGCGGTTGGGGTACTGCACATTAGAACGGAAAATAAAAACGAAATAAGAACGCGTTCGTCAACGAAGAGAAATGCAAAGAAAGAAAGCAAGCAAGCACGTACACCTCGACCCCGCACTCCCCGCACTCCCCAAACTACCCACACTCGACCCGCTCACGCTCGTCGCCAACCCAGGCGCACCCGCCCCTCCGTTCGCTTTCGCTTTCTTGTTCGGCGGCTCCTGGCCCGCCGCTCCACTCTTATTACCACCACCACCACTCATCTTACTACCACCTACCGACGCCAAGGGCTCAAAGGGCCGCTTCAAAGACGCAGCGAGCGACGCGGACGTAACGCCCGCCGCGAGCGAGGCCATCGACGCGATGGTCGTCGCCCCAGGGGAGTGCGTTTGCGTCGCCTTGGGCGCAGCTGCAGCTGTCTTGTTGTTGGGCGTCTTGCCGGATGTTGTCGTCGAAGTGTTAACGTTGGCGTTGGCGGGCAAAGGACCCTTGTCAGCCGGCTGAACCGTAGACGTCTCCTTGGTTGCACCTGTCTTGCCATCGCCCTTCCCAGTTCCACTCCCAGATTCACCGCTTGCCTTCCCACTACCCGCTCCAACGTTGACCCCACCGACGCCAACACCAACCCCGACCCCCCCGTCGATCCTCTTCCACTTATTCACCAGCGCGGTCTTGCTCGGAGGTCGGGGCGGGGGCGTCTCGACCGGAGGCGGAGGAGGGGGTGGGGTTGCTGTTGCTGTTGCATTTCCTACCCCGTTCGCCATCCCACTCGCAGCTCCGTTGACTTTCGTAGGCGTCTGCGGCACGTTCGTCTGCGTCTGCGTCGACTGCATCTCACTCTCACCCGGTAACGAACGCGCACCTGGCGGAGGCGGTGGGGGCGTCCGCAGCCTCTCCAACCCCTCCCTAACGGGTGGCGGGGGCGACGAAGGGGGCGACATCGACATCGGCTCGTCCACCTCCATGGACTCTAGCCCCTCCTGCCCCTGCTTCCGCTCTGATACGTCCACCTCCTGCTTCCGCTCTGGTACCTCCGGCTCAGGCTCAGGCGACGCGCTCGCGTACCTCAGCATCTGCGATAGGTCCGCCGCCTTCGTTGGTGGTTGTGCCAGCACGGGCGAGAGCGGGGTCGGGATCGTGTCTTGGATTGTGGGTTGGGAGGGTTGTGAGGGGAGGGTGGTTGAGGATGAAGAAGTGCTCGTTGTTAATGCTGATGTTGATGTTGTCACTGGCGCCGGCGACGCGCTCATACTCGTACTCGCATGCGCATGCCCGCCGCCGTTATTGTTGTTGCTACTGTTACCCGCACCCGCGCCCGCACTAACACTCCTAACAGCAGACCACTTCGCGCCAACCACCACCGGCTTCTTCGTGCTTGCTCCAGCCCCGCTTGCCCCATTGCCTAATTCACTCTTGCCTAATTCACTCGCTCCTCCCACTCCACCCGCGCCGGCGGTACCAGCCACCCCACTCCCACCCACGCCAGCACCAGCACCAGCCAACGACCTCGGCCCCGTCGGGAGCGCCTTCACCCTTGCTCTTCCTGACGCGGAGGGTCTGATACCAAGCGGGTTGGACGCGGACCCGGCTGGGATGTACGCTCGTGCGAGGGCCTTTGGGTCTGGGGGCGGCGAGGAGGACCGTATGGATGTAGATGTGGATGTGGGTATGGAAGGGGGTAAGGGTTGGGTAAGGGAGAGGGGTTGGGCAAGTGCGAGCGCGGTATTTGCTGATATCGATAACGAAAGTCCAGAGGATGAGGATGATAAGGAGGAAGAAGAGGAGGAAGAAGAGAGTTTGAACGGCGCGTTGGCGGGTGTGGAACTGGAATGCGAGGAAGAGAGCGAGGAAGAGGGTGTAAGAGATGGTAGTGACGACGACGAATGCAGTGATGATGATGACGCTAGAGAAGGAAGGGACGAGGAAGGCAGGGCAGGCATCGGCATCTTCTCCTGTGCCCGCTGCGTCAACCCCATGCCCACGCCCAAGGACATGGACATGGCGCGCGGCATGCTCGGGACGGCCACGGGCGCAACGCGCGAGGCTTTCGCACTGGTACTGGTACTGGCAGGAGCCGCTTTCTTTACTTCATGTACTTCGTCGTTGATGATGGGAGTCGCCAATGCTGATAATGACACCTTGCTGCTTGAGGCTACCGCGTTTTGCGCGCCTGTGCCCGTGCCCGTACTTGAGCCCGTACCTGTACCTGTACTTGTAGTCGGGTGGTTCTGTTGGTGTTGGTGTTGGTGCTGCTGGGGTAGCTTCTCCTGCACAGGTCCAAGTCGAAAACAACACAACGTTGAGCTGGGACGCACCGCCCGCAGGCAGAAGAAGTAAGGCACGTACCGCTTGTACTGCAGTCCCCTCCTTCCGAGGCTCGCTGGCAGGTTCCTCTGCATTGAATGTAAGGCTGGCAGGACTGGTAGTAGCAGTAGTAGCAGTAGCAGTAGCATCGCCCGCTGTCGTAACAAAGACAATTATCAGCACCTTCCCACCGCCATAACAAAGGAAAGAAACAGATAGCGTAGCGTAGCTAAAAACCAAAAGCCCACCCTCTCAGCCCAGCCGGGAGGGGCGACGGAAACTGAAACCGAATAGAAGCAAGGGCAAGGCAACTCACCGCAGATCACGTTCACGTCGTCCGATGGTTGCACTTGCAACGTCGACGGCGACGGGTGGGAGGACAAGGACAAAGGGAGAGGGGAAGGGGAAGGCGGCGGTTGCTGCGCCTCGCCCTCGCCTCGTACTTCTACCCTGGCGCCATCAGCCGCCTGTGATGAGGGCGTCTCCCGCTGCCGCTCGCAGTCCACGTCGACGTCCATGGGCACGTGCGCACCAAGCGCCCGCGCTAACGGCTCGTCTCCACTTTCTCCTCCTTCGCGGGAGCGGTCGGGGACGGGGGCGGCGCGCGCCTGCTCGAGCGGTGTGCTACGGGACAAAGGCGCCGGCGCTGGGGAGTTCCTGGACGAGCCGCTCGGCGTGCTGAGCTCCATGGGCGAGAGGCTGCGGGACCTCGAGTACTGCAGGACAGCGTCAACGTCAGCGTATCGCTCATGTTTAGGTGGGGGCGGGGGCTCGGCCCTGGGAGTGGCAGTGGGAGCGAGACTCACGTTGTCCGACTCATCGCCGTCGCGCTGGGCGAGGGCGTCTAAATGCGGTGGCTCCTCCTCATGCTCCTGGGCGTAGTCGGCGGAGACGGGGGATGGGAGCTGGAGGGGCGAGCGGTCGACGAGGGAGAGGCCGCGGCGGAGGTCGGCGTGGGGGAAGGCGTGCGCGTGCGGCTCGGGGCGTCCGTCTGCACCGCGGCGGAGCAGTAGACGCGTGGCGTGGGTTCAGCGAGGGGATACCCATGAAAGCCCAGCAAATGGGGCGGCTCGCCTGTACGTAGGGTTAGGACACGCACGCGCCGACGAG